TCGTTGTTATTCTGTCTTGATAAAAAACCACAAAATTACTTTGCATACTGGGGGTATTCATTGGATGAAAGGGACCGTGAAATAGGACACTAAAATTGAAAGTTTTACTTCCGACAGTTTCATCTTAGTATTCATTTTTGGCTATACTCCTTTGCAACCGATGTTTCCATTGCCTGCTTCCTTCGTGATGGCATTTCCGTGTAGTATCCACTGGTCCTTATATAAAATCTTTGAAGATTGTTGGAAATTCTGGAGTGCTTTTAGTCAAACTCGCATAGTTTTAGTTGGAGTTGCTTCAAAGCTATATTTAAGAAAATGCAAAATTTAGTTACATGAGTTCTGTGTTGTAACATCGATATTACATTACCAAACAAATTAGGAGGAGAAATGCAAATAAATTCTTATAGAAGACTTTCAATGTGAGTAGAATTCCAATGGAAGGAGTGAGATTCAAAAGGAAATCTGAAATGAATTCAATGAAAATACTGAGAATGTTTTCTAAGGATTTCTTACTGAGAATAATTTTTATGCAGAGTAAAAGAAAGTAAGTCCGCTCGGTTCGAGTGACTAAAGACTAGTGAAAATTTATTTCTAATCAACAACTACTGTTGCTATGTTGGTTGCTAAGCTACAGTAGTATATAAGGCATTATGTACAAAGTATAGGAAATCGTAGGTTGCTTCGATCTCTTCGAACACTCCCTCCTAAGCTACGAATCCTAATAATGTCTTAAATTCTTCCAGCTTCTGATTCATCAGCGGTTTGGTGAAATCGTCTGCTGGTTGCTGCTTCGTGCTAACATAGCTCAGCTCGACGACTCCTCTTTCTAGCACATCTTTGACGAAATGGTACCTGATGTCCAGATGCTTGGTCCTGGGATTGTAGCCTTGATTGCGTGCGATACAGATGGCTGATTGATTGTCGCACCGGAGCGGAATCCCTTGGATGCCAAAAATCTGCGATTGGAAATGATGCCACCATAATGCTTCCTGGATGGTGCGGGAAAGCGCGATATATTCCGCTTCGCACGAGGATAGCGCCACTGTTGGTTGTCGCTTAACGTTCCAAGACACTGCTCCTCCCATGAACGTGAAAACATATCCGGTGGTGGATTTCCTGGAATCCGGATCTCCTCCCCAATCGGCATCTGTGTAACCAACCAAATCCGCGCAGTGCTCCTTCGAGTATGTCAGCCGTACTGTACTAGTACCTCGCAGGTACCGGATGATTCGCTTAACAGCGTTCCAGTGGCTACGGCCGGGATTGCTGTTGAATTGGCTAACTTGGTTGACCGCAAAACTGATGTCTGGCCGCGTCGCTTGCGCCAGATAGGTGACACAGCCAACTGCCTCCTGGTAAGGAACTTGCTTCATTTCAAGGATCTCTTCTTGGGTCGCCGGTGCCATCGACTTATCCAGTCTGATACTAGCCTCCGCTGATGTGAAGACGGGATTACAGTTCGCCAGGTTGAACCGTCGCAAAATGCTGTCGATGTAGTGCTCCTGATCTACCCACAGCTTCCCTTTCTTCCTATCCCGCGTGATCTTCAATCCGAGACAGAAAGTTATGAACATCTTCAGCTTCCGCTTTGACTTGGCATCGTTGGTGAAGATTAAGAAATCGTCGACATAGATGGTGACGAAAATCATTTTTTCACCGACGATCCGAAAGTACAGGCATGGATCAACTTTGGACCGCTCCAGACCAAACTCTTTCAGCGCTTCGTCCAGCTGGTTGTTCCACACACGGCTGGACTGCTTTAAGCCATATAATGCTTTCCGCAAAAGACAGACTTGCTTCGAGTTCCCGGCAAACCCTTCCGGCAGGTTCATGTAAATGACTTCATCCGTTAGTTTCCCTTGAAGGAACGCGGTGACAGCATCCATCTGCTCTACACCCAAGTCGTGCTTCACTGCCAGCGCCAGAAGGTATCGGATGGTAGAATATCGTACCACTGGGGAATACACTTCGTCGAAATCGATGCCTGACCGCTGCGAGCACCCTTTGACGACCAGACGAGCCTTGTACCGCTCGATCGCACCGGTTGGTCCTCGCTTCGTCTTGAAGATCCACTTGTTTTGAATGGGCTTCCGGTCACTTGGAAGGTTCGTCAATTCCCACGTCTCGTTTTCTTCCAGAGCGTCGATCTCCTCACGCATTGCCGCAATCCACTGCTCGCGGTCCGGTCCATTGATCGCTTCCTCGTAGCTTTCGGGGTCATCAGACGGCATCTGAGATTGTATCGGTGACGACTGGGGGGAAACAGCTTCACCAGTAAACGAACTATAAGTAACGAAATCAGAATACTTGACTGGAAATCGGCGCTCCCGGCCGCTGCGCCTAAACCCTTGCTGCTCTTCAGCTGGTCTATCAGATTGCGGCGGGAGCGCAGGCTCGTTGCCGGCGTCTTCGTATTCAGCATCGCTTGAGTCGCTTCCCGATGTACCGTCCGTATCATCTGATGCTTCAATGGTGTCGTTGTTATCCATGCTTGGTTGTTCGATCGTGTACATCTCCATGAACTGCACCTGTTGCACACTTTCGACGAGCTCGACCAAGTCCTGCGTTCTGCCTTCCTGAACCACAATCACGTCACGGCTGATCTGGATGTCACGCTTGACCGGATCGTATACCCGATATCCCTTGACATCGGCGGCGTATCCCACGAAAACTGCTTTCTGGGATTTTGCGTCGAACTTCTTCCTTCTGTGCTTCGGTACGATCCGAAAATACGCAAATGGCTCAGATCTGGCTTCTTACCGGTCCATGCTTCCTCCGGTGTCATCTCAAGGGACCTCGTTGGACTCCTGTTAACGAGATACGCTGCCGTTGACACCGCCTCGGCCCAGAATTCCTTCGGGAGACGCGAATCGTTCAGCATGTTTCGGGCCTTCTCGATGAGCGTCCGGTTCATTCGTTCCGCTACACCGTTTTGCTGTGGTGTGTACGGACAAGTCTTCTGGTGACGCACTCCATCCTTCTCCAAGCTGCTTCTGAACGGCGCATTGACGTATTCGGTCCCATTGTCCGTCCTCAGAACCTTCAGCTTTCGGTCGGTCTGCCGTTCAGCCATGGACTTGAACTTCACGTATGCTTCAAATGCTTCACTTTTTCGTTTCAGGAAGTAGAGAATAACTTTTCGACTCGCATCGTCGATGAAAGTCATCACAACGGCTGCCACCGAGAGATGGAACCTCGATGGGTCCAACCAGGTCCGAGTGAACTAAGTCCAGCAGACCTTCAGCTCACGACACAGCGCACCAGGATCCATCGCGGATGAGCGTCATTTTTATGGCGAACGCCCACGTCGTGTAATTTTCACGACCCTTCAGTTTTTCGATGATCGGCATAGTGACCGCGTTGATCCGTCCATGTCCAGCAGCTGACACTCCGGCTCCGCTTCCAGCAGCCGATTTCCCAGTTCCGCTTCCGATGGCCCCGTTCATCTGCTTACCGCTTGGTATCTTGAGTTGGAGTTTTTACTGCTTCTCGAAACTTCTTTCTTCCGGCTATGACCAGTTCTGGGCCCATAACCTTTTGCAGAGTAAAAGAAAGTAAGTCCGCTCGGTTCGAGTGACTAAAGACTAGTGAAAATTTATTTCTAATCAACAACTACTGTTGCTAAGTTGGTTGCTAAGCTACAGTAGTATATAATAGCGAATTCGTTTATTATCGGGGTTAACACCAGTTCCAACCCAGTGCGAAACCGAACTTTTTGTCAGTGTGAACCGCAACCTGAGCTAGGTTTTAAAAACAAACGAGCAAACTGACGTTTGTCAGAAAACAAGCAGACCCAATCTTGATACCCGATCCAGGTTGGAACTGAATAATAATCGAATTCGCTATAAGGCATTATGTACAAAGTATAGGAAATCGTAGGTTGCTTCGATCTCTTCTAACAAAGTTCAAGGTAATTCCAAGGAAAATTTAATTCGGGCGATAGTTCCAACTAAATTTTGAGAAGTATTCCAAGTATATTCTGGTGATAATTCAAAGGAGCGTTCCAAGTGAATTTCTAGAATGATTCCATGATAGTTTCGCGAGAATACAAAGCGAATTCTGAGAAAAAAAAACGCCAAGTGAATTGTCATAAGAAATCTCCGTTGAATATAGAAAGACTATTCTGTAAAACTGCTTTGAAGTTCTTTTGTAGTTTGAGAAACTAGCCTGACGCTCACAATACGCACTTCCAAAAGTTTCTTCAATTATCCTAGCGATCATGGGTCTTCTCAAAAGTTTTAACAATTCGCTGAAGCTCTCGAAACTTCGTTAAAAAAGAAAATTACATCTAATTTTAACGGAATTGCTCTGAGGTTCTTAGTAATTTCATGAAGTTCTTTAAACTCCTTTAAAGTTTTTGTAGTTCTCCTGAAACTTATTGAATTAACCACTTCATTCGAGCAGTTAAAATGACGTTTACTACCACTCGAACTTTGAAATAAAACATTATTTTGAGATTTTGTTTTCTCGAACCACGAGAAAAGTAACCGACATTTGTGCGTTTCATAAAAAAATCGAAATTAGTTGGTCCAGTTTTGTGAAATCGGTGGTAGAAAGTCACGTCAAAACTGCTTGACAAAGTGGTCAATTGTCCTAAAAATGTTCAAGCTTCCGTGAAATTCTGAACTTATGTGAAGACTTCAATAATTGTCTTAACATCTCTGAAGTTATCTGAAAATCTGATCGACACCATCGTCGGTATGTTTATACCTGTATAAATAATGAGATAACGATTGGTAATTACCATTTAATTCCACTGCCTTATTTGCTTATCTTTGACAGATACGCGTATTTCGTCTAATGTGCAGCCTTCTTCAGTAGCTTGTACAAATCCTCGACTCCAGTAAGGTAGTGGAATTAAATGGAAATTACTAATCCTTCTTTATGCTAATTCATAACTTCTTCAATAGTCTAGTTTCCAAAGCAAACACAATTAAACAAGTGGCACTAAATTTTGTTGCAAATCACACGAATAAAAAACAGTAGCAGAATTGAGTATTACATTTCCCGGACAACCATTTCTCGGTCGGAGCAATGCAGACATCATGCAAACTCTTAATAGATTCATTTTACTTAATGTTTCATTGTTATATTTAATCAGGTTTAGTTTTACGGTTAAATTAAAATACAGCAGGAGGGTAAAACATAAATAGCCCGGTAACTTTATTTGGCGCAGCTGGACTGCGCCTTTGAAGCATCTCCCGCGTCATTCACCACCGCCAACTGTTGCTGCTGCTGCTGCTCCCTTTCAAGTCTCAACCGAGCATACTCCTCGGGATGTGCCTTCTTCCGGTGGAAAAAGTAGTTGTTACTGTGCAGGTATTCTTTCTCACAGAATTCACACTGGAAGAGTGCCTTCGGCGTCGGTCCGCTGTGGGCTCGTTTGATGTGTTCCTGGGAATTTAAATTTTGTTTAATTAAAGATCATACAACCTTTCGCTAAAGACATCTTACCGTCAGAATGGACTTCTTGAAAAATCTCTTATCGCACTGGTCACAGCTATGTTTGGCATCCTTCTGGTGAACCATGCGTACGTGCTCCAGCAAGGCGCTTCCCGTGGGATAAACCTTATTGCACGGTTCGCACCGATGGTCGCGCTGATCCTTGTGCCGGGCGTTGACGTGCGACCGGAGCGTTTCGGCATTTTTGAACCACTTGGCACAGACGTGACACTGCACCTTCGTGTCCGATGCCTGGTTGTGAGCTTTCATATGGCAATTCAAACTGCTCAGCGTTGCGAGTTGTTTGGCACAAATTTCACAGATAAATTTCGGCGAGTTCTCGTGCTTCAATCGGTGTTTTGTGAGAAGGAACTTGTGTCCAAATCTGCGGAAAGATGGAAATTGGGGCTTAGAATGTTTCTTAATGTTACATCAAATCAACAATCAAAACTTACGCCTTCCCACATGTATTGCATACGTGTCGCTTGACACCATGCTTGGCCGTATGATTGTACAGCTGCGACTTGGTCACAAAAGTCTGCTCGCACTGGTCACAGACGTACCGACGATCGCTTTTATTGTGCTGCTTCCGGTGAACCTCGAGCAACAGGGCACTTTTGCTTCGGTGGCCACATTCGGTGCACTTGTACGCATTAGGATTGAGATGGACTGTGATGTGATCCAACAGGCGATCCTTCCGGATGAACTTTCGATCACAGCAGATGGCATAACCTCGAGTGTAGTGCTCTTTTTTGAAGTGCTTTGTCAATTTGGCAAAATTCTCGAAATGCTCCGAATTTTCACCGCAAACATCGCAATACAGAGTCAGATATTTCCTAATGATGTCGTTCCCCTTGGACCTGGGACTGTACTTCTTTTGAACCTTCTGCGATCCGGAGCCGCGTGCCCCTTCGGGTACATCGCATTCTGAAGCGGGACGTCCGTCATCCTGCACTTTGGGCTCACAGTCAACCGCCGGATGTTCGATGCCCCAAGGATTAGTACCGCTCACAGTGGTGACCACATCTACTGCCTCCGGGTGCGAGTGACCTTCGTGAAGGTGATTCAAGAAATCCTGATTCTTCCGAACAACATCCGCAAACTCATCGAAGCGGTTGAGGTTCTCGTGGCAGGGCAGGCAAATTAGATGCGACAGCTGATAGCTGTTTCGGAGCTGTTGGAATACAATGGGGATATCTTAATTTCGTTTGAATGAAAAGTAGGAGGTAGGGAATGACTAGGTGGCATACAGGATCTGATTTGGATTCGAAGTGCAGCGACGGGTGATTTTTCCAATCATCACAGAGAGCGACTTACCGTGAACTTGAACACCTTCCGAATTTTCTCCTCAACGGCTTTGTTGTTGAATATTTCGTAGAATGTGGTGTCGTACCTCAGACATAAGCGGCACGCTGCGGAATACTGGCTGAGTTCCATGTTGGTCGGATTTTTTGCTCAGTTAAAAGTGTTCAGTACTAATTCAGCGCGGTACGAGTCTTATCACTGCATCGTAAGATGTAAACAAAAACATCCCATGAGTGAGTGAGTGAGTGAGCCGCCACTGATAGCAGAAGGCTAACGTCGCTCTCTTGACAGCTGTGTTGCGCGCATTGAAGCAGCAGATCAAAGACAGGGAAAAGATTTCTAACTCAAATAATGTGGAGTTTTATAAATAAAAATCAAGTTTTAGTATAATGATCACACATTTCAAGCTAAACAATGCATTAGGTCCTAAGTAACATTGATCGATTCTCGTCATCGACTTTCTCTTTCGTTAATAACTTGGGTACATAACCGTTTCTTGTTGTGTTTGTCGTATTAGAAGCTACACGGAGAACAAATTATAGCAGACGTAATTATTTTTCCGGTCAAAATAACTATATTGTTCAATTGTTTTAGAGTTAACCCGAAACTATAGTTGATTTGACTATATATAGAGGGCAACAACTATAGTTCATAGTTGGCTCCTCGGTTGGCTCAACTATATTTTTCAGTAGATGAACAAACGTCAAACTTCAAAATACAACTAAGTTTTAGTTGATTCAAGAAAACTATTGTTAGGAAAGCAAAATTTTGCAATGTTTATTAAACGAACTGCTCTTCATTATCGACATATTAAGGAAGTTTGTTTTGCTTCTTTATCGATCTCAAAAACACAACTGCAAAATCATAAAAAAAGTGAACAAGAACATTCAACTTAGATTTGAACCGTGTTCATCTGTGTGAGAGCCAGCTATCTTATCGCCTGCTCTACGCATCACAAGTTAAAAGTATGTGGATTTATGATGATCACATGAAACCAAATTATATAAATAAATTACATTTGACGGTTGTTATAATTGATTAAAGTTATAGTTGAAATGAGTATAAGATGAACAGTTGAATCTAGTAGGTAGATATGATTGAGTTGACGGTCAAATTAATGTTGGAATAACTATTAGTTTCTTTCAAACAACAATATTTTTCCATGTGTAAGTAACTATTAGGATTGTTATCTTAACTTAACGAATTTGTTCTCCGTGTAGATAATACCTTCTTTCATCGATCTGTGTGCTGAACATAGCTTGCAGTGTCTTAACATGGCCGTGTGGATGCACATTATGCATTTTTGCTTTCATACGCTAAATTTAATAGTTATCGAAATGTTTTAATCGACATTCCTTGTCTCCTCCAACAGAATTAGTTTCTACTACTCTTGTACAGGTAGCGCTCTCGTCAACTCACTCGACACACTGCACATGCGTACTCGCAACAAAACAAACCTTTAATTGTATTTTATTTTGCGTGGACTGACTGTTTATAGGTATTATTTGCTTTCGTGCAGGTGCATAATCGTCTGTGCATCTCATTACCGAATAGTATTGTAATATTGCCTTTAAAGGTAATTCCTTGTCAAACATGGTCCAGAATGTGGACGCAATAAATCCATAGAGGTAACTCTAAGACCAGAAGGTTCCGAAGAAACGAGTTAAACTTTTTGGCTCAGCTCTGGTACTATTTTCGGTCCCAAGCTAAGCGATGCACCCCTCGAAACATAGAAAAATCCACGAACCCCTCATTTTATCTGTCAAACTTCATAGCGAATCAAAAAAAAACATAGCGTAGTACTGGAATTTTGACTAGAATGGGGTACGCTTATAGATGTACTTGGGAACGAGTTTGGGACCAATAGGCTAGTCAAGTAGTGAGCCAATTTAAAATCGTTAGTTTCCATCGGTTGATAAATCAGCTCTATATCGGGATTGGTTTGAAATTCCTTCATATTTCTACTCATAATGTGGCGACTGAATGCGGCCAGTTTGTCGATTAATTTAGAAAAATCGAAATTTTGCGTTCTAGAGTTGCCTAACCTTAGGTTTATCTTGTCTGAGCAAGGAGTAAGACCCAACCCAGACAAAGTGGAGGCCATCGTCAACTTTGAGAGACCATCGTCAGTTCGATCACTCAGGCGTATTTTAGTGATTTGTTGACTGCTGTAGTGAGGTTACCACCCCACTGACGGATTTATTGAAAGGAAAACCGAAAGTGGTGGCCTGGAATATCGAAAGCGGAGAAGGCATTCAATATTTGAAGGGGAAGTTAAGTTAATCACAGCACCGGTTCTTGCTAACTCCTGATTTGACTTGCCATTCAAAATCCAAACCGATGCAGAACACGTCGTTGCGTACTATTCGCATAGGCTCAGCATTGAGCAGAAAAGGAAGGTCTAGCTGCGTTGGAATCGATACAGTGGTTACGGCCTTACGTTGAAGGAGGCTGGTTTACGCTGACTCTTTCGTTCATTGTGAATAAGAAGTGGAAGCCATCCTCCAAACTCAGTAGGTTGAGCATATTGTTGCAGCAGTACGATATACAGTTCCGGCATAGAAAAGGATCTGAGAACGTCGTAGCCGATGCACTTTCGAGAGCGGTAGAAGCCATAGTAGTGGCAAAAGACAACGACTGCTACTCAAAGCAGTATAGAAAGGTCGAAAAAGATCCAGAGAGTTTCGTGGATTTCAAGATCGAGAATAAGAAGCTGTACAAGGGTACAAGTTCGTGTCTGCAGCTTCGGACGTCTTAGACTACCGGTTTCAATGGAAGCTTTGCGTACCACAAGAGTCTGTGCGGGAGTCTGTATTGCGACAATAACACGACAACGGTTACGGTGGATTAAAGTACGGTACTACTGGCCAAAAATGGCCATGGATACCAAACGTTATCTGCGAGCTTGTGTATCGTGCAAACAATGCAAGGCTACTGTAGCTTCTGCACTGGAAATGGGCAGACCGAAGGACACCGAGAGGCCTTTCCAAATATTAGCACTCGATTAAATCCATAGTCTTCCTAGAAGCAGGAATGGAAACTGCCATTTAGTAGTCCTTATGGACATTTTTTTTCTAAATAGACTACCCAAGTAACCAACCATTAATCGCCCTTTTTGGTATATAAGGCTGCTATACGACTGATATAAAGTTCGGAAACCCTATATTTACCTTATATCGCAAAAAGGGCGATTATCGGGTAGTTAGCGGGCTTGTTGGTTACTTGGGTATTCTGGTTCCTGTGAAAACGATCGAGGCGAAAGGGATGTGCAAAATAGTGGAGGACATTTGGATTCCTGAAGTGGTAATTAGTGATAAAGGGTGTCCACGATGAAATTGCCACACACAAAATTGATTCTTCATCCGATTGCCATCAAATTTTCAGGGATTGAGAAATAACTATTAAACTTCATTTTACCATTTTACTCGTATTTTATTTACAGTCCATACGCAAATGCCCGCACCTTGGCCTTAACCCCGGCCATAAGATTCTGCACAACCTGTGAATCAACCGTTTTTTGCATGTAAACCGATACTTTCTTCAGTTCCTCGACTGTCTTCACTGCCTTAGGTCGTTTAAGAAGGTGCTGCTTCATAATCGCCCAGTACTTCTCGATGGGGCGGAGCTCCGGAGTGTTGGGAGGGTTGAACATTTTCGGCACGAAATTGACCTTATTGTCCGCATACCACTTCAGCACGTCCTTGGAGTAGTGGCATGAGGCCAAATCCGGCCAGAAGATTGTTGGGACGTTGTGGGCCTTCAGGAGAGGAAGCAGCCGCTTCTGGAGGCACTCTTTTATGTACACCTGTCTGTTCATCGTGTCCTGGGTCACGAAAGGTGCATTCCGCTTCCCGCACGTGCAGATGGCTTGCCAAACCAGGAATTTCTTCGCAAATTTGGACATCTTCTGAGTGCGGACATGCTCCGGAACGCTGAACTTATCCTTGGCCGTGAAAAACAGGTTGCCGGGGATCTATTTGAAGTCGGCCTTCACATATGTTTCGTCGTCCATGATGCAGAATTCAAATTTCGTCATCATGTTGAGGTACAACTTCCTGGCACGGGTTTTGGCGGACTTGTTCTGCTTCTCGTCGCGATTAGGGGCCTTTTGTACCTTGAACGTTCGAATCCCAGCCTTAGTTTTGGCCTTCTGGACAAAACTTCGGCTTAGGTGCAGCTTCTTAGCCACATCCCTAACGGAGGCGTTCGGATTTCGGTTGAAGGCCCCAACTACGCGGTTGTGATTTTTGGTGTTGTACGGAATACTTTTTCCTTCACTTCTGGGCTTCCGATCGGTGGTCAACCGTTCCTCGAACCGCTTAATCACTCGCGACACCGTGGAATTCGCGATTCCCAACGTTTTAGCGATGGAACGATGCGAGAGATCCTTGTTCTCGTGATGAATGCGCAAGATTTTATCACGCACGAGCTGTTCTTTCGACTCCATTTCCGCGAGTTTTGATCACAGGACTTTAAAACTTGCAGGATGTAAATAATGCACTATGAACTAAATCCACCCAAATTTTCATTAAATTCTACCCAACGGTTAAAAAGTTAGAGCAATTTCATAGTGTGGCAATTTCATCGTGGACACCCTTTAATGCCACGACCTTTACAAGAAAGGAGTTTCAGTCTCTGCTCAAGCAAAGAGGAAACCGTCACTGGCCAAATGCGAGGCATAGCCATGCTATTCCAGTGGAGCGGACAAATCGGACCAGATGAGAGGGAACTTTCTGTAGGGGCGAGGGAAACATTGGAAAATTGGAAGGAGGCAAATTATTAGAAAAAGTTAAAGACAATCTACAGGAAAGTGATGAAAAGTACAGGAAGGTTTCGGGGTAGCAGCTCATATGAGGTAGCGGATGCAGCTGGACGGAATCTTGGTGTATTTTCCGCCAGCGATGTTCGACCAGGCAATGAGGCCATGGGTCGGAGTTCCCAAAAAGAGTTTATTAGACCCTAGTGTATGGGCTTTCTTGACAGGTCTCAACTTACTATGAGAGAGCCAGGTCCAGGATAGACTGCAGTCAATACAAATTATCGTTGTATCATGTTCGTCGGTGTTCGTCCATCGGGTGATGTGATCATTCGACCAAAACAGAGCATTCATCGTCGTCGTCGTCCCGTAAATGCATCGTCCAACTCGTTTTCATTAAAATCATAGTAAAAGTTATTCCAATCGAGCAGAAGACCTGTCAAATGGATAAGATGTCGCATCTTTACCCAATCCAGTCTCTTTAGTTTTCATGAGTGTTATTTTATAATATGTACCACGCCACGCGTCCCCGTTGTCGTAGTTAAG